AGACTTGACCTAGGGGTGCTGGTGTGAGTTTGGGTGGGTGTGAGGGGAGTCAGGGAGGAACTAAGGGGACCCGGGGTCAGAGAGTTTGGGAGGCCACGGAGCAAGCTGAGAGGTCCGATGGGATTTGTGAGGCCCCAAGGGTGGCACTGGAGGACTTCCTGGGAAAATAAGGGGATCTGGAGCTGAGGAGAGCATGGGGGTCTCGGAAGAGTAGTTTAAGAAGGCTACAGGGCATTTGGGCGAGTGGGGGAATTTGGTGGGCCAAGGAAGGGACTGAGAGATTATTTGGTAGTGAGGCCAAGGGAGCTGGGAGCTGAGGAGGGTGTGAGGCTCCCTTCTGAGGGGAGCTTGGTGGGGGGCAGGTAATCTGGGGATAGAGTGAGGAGGTCAGTAAAGGCCAAGCCAGGGTGGACCTTTGGGGGGTCCCCGACATGGGCCTGCCAGAGCAGGATGGGTGATAAATCTAGTTATGATCTCCAGATTAAGGAGGGGTACATGGTGTTCCCCAAGAAAAGACACCATATCCCGTGGAGGATCTTGCCTTTGATGGGCTTGGAGCAGGCACAAAGCCTCTTCTCCCTACTCAGGCCAGAGGTGCCACCAAGTGAGCCTTGGAGGCTTCCTACTCCTCCTGCCCTTGGGGTACCCCTCTGGTATACAAGGGCAGCCTAAACCTATAGGTTAAAATGACATGTCTTATCACCATTCTGTTGTTGTTAAGCGCCATCAAGTCTGTTGCGACCCATGGCTGGCTGGCTGTATGCCATGCAGTTGGTTCCAACTCATAGCAACCCAATACAGGGTTTCTGAGGCTGGAAATCTTTACGGGAGCAGAACACCTCATCTTTCTCCCACGGAACAGCTGGTAGTTTCGAACTGCTGACCTTGTGGTTCGCAGCCCGATTCGTAACCACTACACTACCAGAGCTCCTTAGTGGCCCATAGTGCGCCTATATAGGGTTTCCAAAGAGTGGCTGGTGAGCTTGAACTGCTGATCTTGCATTTTAAACCGTTTTTTGCAGTCCATCGCATTAACTCACAGTCACCAGGACTCCAACCAACACTTTGTTGTTGTTGTTGTTATGTGCCGCTGAATCGGTTCCAACTCATAGTGACCCTGTACAGGGTTTCTGAGGCTGTGAATCTTTACGGGAGCAGAAAGCCTCATCTTTCTGCCGCGGAGCAGCTGGTAGTTTTGAACTGCTGACCTAGCAGTTCACGGCCCAATATGTGACCACTACACTACCACCACTTTAGAGATAAATTATTTTCCCCACTGGTTGTAACCTGTTAGGCACTGGGGACCCTCTCTTTTCATCATCACATCCCCCAACAGCTTCCTACACTTACCTGTGAAATAAAAACAAACAACCCTTCCCCCCCAAAAGAGAAACTATTGTTTTCTCATAAAGTAATGGAAAAGATGATTATAATGGCAAGCATGTTCTAAGCCTGCAAGTGTCTAATACAAAGAAATTGTAAGCCACATTTCTAATTTCAAGAATTAAAAAGAAACAGGAAGCTCATTTTAATACATTTTCTTGAACACAGCTACATTTTATCATTTCAACAAAAATGATCAGTGAGATATTTTAGCTTATTTTTGGTATTAAAGCTGATATGTATTTTACACTCACAACATATCTCAAAGTATTCAATAATTACATGTGCTAATGGCCACTAGTATTGTACAGCATACCTTTTAGCACGTTGGTGTGTATTAACTCATTGAATCCCGGGAAGTGACTGCAGGACGTGGTGGTGTTTTTAGTTTGGTACTGCTGTTAAGATTTTTATAGATAATGAAAACTGGAACACTGAACAACTAAATTAAAATGGCTGCCATTTATTGAGCGTGCACTGTATACCAGGCACTGGTTTAAGTGCTTTCTATGCTCCTTGGAGGCCAGGATGACCAAACTTCGTCTCTCTACTTCAGACATATTGTCAGGAGGGACCAGTCGCTGGAGAAAATCATGTTTGGTAAGGTGGAGGGTCAGAGAAGAAGAGGAAGACCCCTAATGAGGTGGATATGCCTAGTGGCAGCATTGATGGACTCAAGCGTGGCAACAGTAGTGAGGTTGGCCCAGGATCAGGCATTGTTTCATTCTGCTGTGCACAAGGTCACTATGAGTCAATACTGACTCAGTGGCACCTAACAACAACAAAACTGTAACAGCCCTAAATGGTAGGTGCTATTGTTATTCCTGTGGTGTCCTGGTGTGGCTCTGTGGGTTAATGTGCCTTTTGAACTGCAAGGTCTGAGGTTCAGGCTCACCAGCTGCTCCTCAGAAACCCTATACAGCTTTGCTATGGGTTAGAACCCACTCTAAGACACTTCATAACAATAGCAACAACATTGTTATTCACATTTTACAAATGAGAAAAATAGTTACTGGAAATAAAATGACCTGTTTAAGGTCAGGAAGTGGAGGAGCCAGGAATTCCATTGGTGTGGCCCTGTGGGTTAATGCACTGGACTGCAATGTCATCAGCAGTTCAGAGCTCACCAGCCCCTTGGAAACCGCTTACTGAGCCACTATGGGTCAGAACCAACTCAAAGGCACTTAACAACAACAACATCTGACTTCAAAGCCTAGAGAATTAGATAGACTAAAACAGCTTTAAAGATCATCTCCACAACCAACTAGATTAGTTTTTACTTTTTTTATGCATTAGAGTTTTCTGGAAGACTTCCATTTAGAGAATAAAAAAGATCCCACTGTTAAAAACAAAGATTTTTTTAAGCCACTGTGTTTTTATGATCCTAAGATATTCCATGGAAAATGCAAACCACTTACTTTAAAGCCATTCTGAAACACATACTAAACCTTTGGCTATGTTCAATACAAAAGTTTTCTATTGATAAGCTACTTACTAGAGTATTTCCCCCTCTTTTGTTGGATAATTCAACTTCTCAGAGTACCACCATTAGCACTGGGTCAATTCTGACTCCTAAAGTCCCTATAGGACAGAGTAGAGCTGCCCTATAGAACTCCTAGTGTGGCGCTACAGGATAAGCAAACCACAAGGTTGGCGGTTCAAACGTACCAGGTGTTCTTTGGGAACACCTCTGAGGCTGAACGGACACAAGTGTACTTAACAACACAGGATGTCTGAGGTTACAATCTGTGTAGAAACAGACTGCTAGAGCTTTTTCTCACTGAGCAGTTGATGGGTTCAAACTTACCATCCTTTCAGTTAACAGCTAAGAGTTTAACCTCTGTGCCAGCAGGTCTCCCCAACAGTATTATCCAAGTTTGCTTTGCTGTTTGAGGCCTAGGCTTCAAGGAGTGAACGAATTACATTAAAGTTTGAGTAATTTGTGATGAGGCTTTCTGCTCCCATAAAGATTTACAGCCTTGGAAATCCTGTATAGGGTCACTATGAGTTGGAACCGACTGGATGGCACACAGCCACCACCACCATCACCTACTATACATTAATCAAATGGCTACTAAACTCCTTGGAAACCCTATACAGAGTCAATATGAGTCAGAAATCATTCAATGGTACTTAGCAATAACAGTATAACTTCATAGGTTAGAAAAGAAGTATGCAGCTGCCAACATATAGTTGTGTATTCCTTTACAAAATTTTTTGCACTAAAGGGATCACTCTGTACATACTTTTTCCTCCATCTCTTGTTTGTTTGGAAGCCTTAATAACTGTTGCTGTTGTTAGTGCTGTTGAGTCAGCGCCAACTCATAGCAGCCCTGTGTAGGGTTCCCAAGGGGCTGTTGGTAAGTTTGAACTGCTGACCATGTGGTTCGCAGTCCAGTGATGATCCTACAGCACCACAGCCTTCCTTAATAATATATCATGAATATTTTCCCCAGTTAGCACAAATAGATCCATTTCATTATTTTTGACAGCTGCATAATATTCCTAGAGCTACCGTAATTTATTTAACTAGTCCCTATTAAAAGGCATTTAAGGTGCTCCTTTTGTTATTGTTTGTTTTTATGGACAGTGTTTTGACAAACCAGTTTGTGTAGATGTGTCTTGGTTTGCTTTTTGGAGTATATCTGAAGAGTATGTCATCAGGTCAGTTCCAACTCATAATGAACCCTGTATAGAGTTTCTGAGGAATGACTGTAGGAGTCCAGTGCTTATCCTACAGCACCACACTTACTTGTTATTTTACTGTTTAACTTTTTACTATGAATTGATGAAGGTTTACAGGGCAGATCTTCAGTTTTACATTCAACAAATAATGTACTTTTTTTCAGCTCATTGATTGTAATCCCCATTTCCCTGTGTTTCCCATTTCTATTCTTCCATCTTTCCCAAACCCCTCTGATTTTTGCCCTTAGGTAAAGGATTATACTTCTTGCAATGGAATTACAGGGCCAAGGAGTATGATCATTTAACAAATAGATGTGTATTACCAAATGACCCTTCAAAAAGGTGCCTTAGCAATGTCAAGGTAGAAGTTGTGTAACATAAAGTGGGAGTGGTTAATCTTACATTCCAGGAACAGAGGACCCTAAGTCCATTAGGGAGAAGAGCATGAGCAGAATGTGGGACCCTATCCAGAGAAGCAGTGACACCAGAGATGGAGGCAGAGATGAGGACATGGAGAGAGAGAGCCACTGAGGACTCTAGATTCATGGAAAGAGAAAAGCTGTGTCCTGGCGGCCAGGAGGCAGGCTTGCAGAATGTGCCCTTAGTTTGTTTAAATGATTATATATTCCTGAGTGTTTTTGTGAACAATAACCAAAAAAAAGCAGAGGGAGTTGAATGATGATGTATGGAGGGGATTGTAATCATTGCATTGAA